GGCGCGCACACACCTAATGGAATGGATATGAGCAACACATCTCGAAGAACAACAGTTACAACGGTGAGTAACCGTCTTTTCCTTGGTCAGGATAATTCATAGCTCTACAGTAAATTGCTCTCCCTTTGGTCCCATCTCCGCAGAATCTGACTCCAGTGATCTAGATCCCCAGCTGGTGTCAATGAGCATAGATCTGTTTACTTCATTCCCACCAGCTGGGGATCCGGCCCCATTGACTCCAATGGAGCTACGTCCAATTGACACCGGCTGGGGACATCACCCATTTGTGTCTCTCTCACACAGAGAGGAAAAACCCTCCCTCCAATGCCTTGACATCCCTCAGAACCTTTCCCCTTCTCCTCCAGCTCCCATGCCGCATTAGAATGATACTTTGCCTTTCACTAGCACTTTCCATCTGTAGAGCGTGAAGCCGTCTACAACAGTAGCTCAGGGTGATTAGCCCAATTTTTACAGAGAGAGACACTGAGGCACAGAGAGGGGCAGAGCCAGGAACAGAACTGAGGCATCCTGAGGCCCAGTGCTCTATCCACTTGGCCACCCTGCCTCTTGGCTGGTGTGTATGGGCCACAGAGCCGCTGGTGGCGACGGAGCCAGGCCCAGCCCCACCGGAAGGGAATCTGGATTATCCATCTCCACCGTCCCCATCAACAATCAAAAACCCCAAGAAATTCCCTCAGACCCCGAAAGGAGGTTTTGATGAACTAGGTTTGTTTCTGATTGGGGATTTCCCCATCCCAATCCTTGGTGGAATTAGTGTAATTGATTATGTGTGTCCTGCTGCCCCAGGTATGGCTCAGGACCCCAATGTGCAAGGTGCTGTACAAACACAGAACCAAAAAAAGTCTCTTCCCCAAAAGGATCTGAGCCAATTATCAGATGTCCACTGTCCATCTCCTGGGGGTATTTCCACCAGGTGTTGTGGGTATCAAAGGTAGCCATTTGTCTCTGGTTCAGCTGTAACCCACAGGTCCATATGTGTCCCATTCTCACGCCACGTATGAGGCTGTTACAACGCCTCTTACAGATGCCAGGTCTTCAGTTTAGGCTGGAGAAGTTCATTCTCCGAGTCCAAGGGACTGCCCGAGATGGCGGACAACTTTGTTCTGCTCTGAAACGACGCTGCTGTCGCAAGTTGAGGAACGTTGACATTTTGGCTTGAAAACTACGTTGCTTTCAATCCCAAACCGACCGTTTTGTAAAAAATGTTTGGCAAAATATTGCAGCATCTCCGATTAGGGGCGTTTGTCCTCGTCTTTTATTGCACTATGTCAACATCATTTTCATTTGAAAAGCAATCATTTTTCAAAACTGTTTAGCGAAATATTTTTTGAGGGAAATTCTGATTTGGGGAGTTTTTCCTCGCTTTTTTATTGAAAAACGTCACCAGCAGTTTCTTTCCCAAACCAGTCATTTTTCATTTTTTAAAAGAATGTTTTGTGAAATATTGTTGGGGGGGTGCGAAGTTCTGATTTGGGGGAGTTTTTCCTCAGTTCCCCCCCCCAAATGTCAACACTATTTTTATTCTCCCACCAACAATTTCTCTCTCTTTTTTAAAGGTATTGCAAAACTGTTTTTGTTGTTAGAAAAAATGCAATTTGAGTGTTTTTCTATTTCTGTTTTTTTTTTGCCACTGATTGCAACAAATGAATGATGTCTAGGTATCTTTCCCCCTCCCCAGTTTTTCATTACATTCGAAAATTGAACATTGTTCTCCTTCCAAAACCATTTCATTTTCTTTGAAAATTTTCCCAAACCTTTTTACTGTGTTTGTTTGTTTTTAATATTTTGGGGTTTTCCTCATTGTCTCATTCCAGAATTTCAAAGTTCTTCTAATTCCAACACGGCATCATGTTTGTCTTTAAAATCTTTTACAAAACTTTTGGCAGGAAAAAAATTTGATTTGGGGGGAATTTTCCTTTTTAAAACAAAAAAACAAAAAACCCTCCAAAACGTCATCATTTTCCTTTCCAAAGCAAAATTTTTTTGGATTATTTATGTGCAATTTTTTTAAAAAAGTTGGGGGGGGGGTGTATTTTTCCTCTCTTTTTCATTCAAAAATTTCAATTATTTTCAGCCCAAACAAATTTTTCTTTTTTTTCTTGTCACTGTTTTACAAAACCGTTTTCTGCATTCTTTCCTTGCACTTCAATTCTTTCCCTCCCCTTCTTATTTCCTTTTCCCCCACTCTAACTTTTCTAAACTTCCTCTCACTTTGGAAAAACAACAGCACCATCAAAAGAGGAAAAATGAAATTCTTTGATTCTGCCAGTCTATAGTTTCCCCAAACGTAGTGCTCTGTCTGTATCGGAAAGTGGTACCAGTTACCCCAGTAGAGTTATCCAGAATAACTCCCGGGAAGGCACTCTTATCCCAGTATAGGAGTAGACTTTTCCATTTAGCTTAAACTTCTTCCCAAATGCCATAAACTAAACCCAGATCAGTTCTCTTATACCCGAATAGAAAGAGTTAGCACCTGGATCTAAGGCAGTGGTTTTCAAACTTTTTTTCTGGTGGACCAGTTGAAGAAAATAGTTGGTGCCTGTGACCCAAGGGAGCTAGCAATGAGGGGTCTGGGGTGTGGGAGGGGCTCAGGACTGGGGCAGAGGGTTGAGGTGCAGGGGTGAGGGCTGTGGGGTGGAGCCAGAAAGGAGGGGTTCAGGCTGTGGGAGGGGGCTCTGGGCTGGGACAGGGGGTTGGGGTCCGGGATGGGGTCAGGGCTCTGGGTAGGGGTGCAGGCTCTGGGGTGGGGCCTGGAATGAGGCGTTTGGGGGGGGGATCAGGGCTGGGGCAGGGGATTGGGGCACGGGGTTACCTCAGGCAGCTCCCACTCAGTGGCACAAGAGGGGCGCTCAGGCAGGCTCCTAGCAGGTCCGGCTCCTAGGCAGAGGTACACAAGTGGCTCCGCGTGGCTCTCGCCTGCAAGCACTGCCCCTCTAGCTCCCATTGGCTGGTTCCCAGCCAATGGGAGTGCAGAGCCGGTGCTCAGAGCAGGGGCAGCACGCAGAGCCCCATGGCCCCCCCGCCTAGGAGCCGGACCTGCTGCTGGCCGCTTTCGGGGCGCAGCGCAGTGTCAGAACAGGTAGGGACTAGGCTGCCTTAGCCGGACAGTACGGCCCACGGGACTTTTAATGGCCCGGTCGGTGGTGCTGACCAGAGCCGCTGCGACCCAGTGCCTTCCAGTACTGGGTCACGACCCACAGTTTGAAAACCACTGATCTCAGATGCTACACTGGAATTTAAGTCTGTATCTAGAGTTTTGTGAAAAGTTTTGACTGAAACTTTTTGTGTGTGAAAACTGAAGATTTGCATCAGTTTCACCAACTTGTTTCGGGAAGGGAAAAAAAACCCCGCAAAAAATACCAAAAAACCCCAAATGTTTTGATTTTTTGATTCAAAATGACTTTTCAATTCTAAATTTTCTGTCCTTTTATTATTATTATTTTTTTTTTAAGGACAAAAATCTTAAATAATGCCCCAAATGTTTCATTGTGGGTCAAACAAAATATGTTGTTCGACCCGAAATGATTTTCTTTTCTGGCGTTTTGATTCACTGAAGAGTTGGGAGGGGAATTAATTTTCTGGTCACTGCAAAACGATTTTTTTTAAATTTTTCTGAATTGGCATGCAAACAAAAAAAAAAAGTCCATCCTTCCTGCAAATGTAGACGAGTAACACATTTTGCTTGATTTTAGACAAGCTGAGAAACAACATAGACTTTAACGCGATCGGTTTAATACATGCTAACATACAATTGATTTATCTTGACTGGGGTCTATCAATTCACGAAGGCCATGAAGGCACCGCTGGGATCATTTAGCCTTTAAAAAAAATACCCAACCGTGATTTAAACATGGCCAGCGATGGAGAATCCACCATGACCCTCGGGAAGTCGTTCCAATGGTTAATTCCTCTCACCTTATTTCCAGTCTGAATGGGTCAAACTTCAACTTCCAGCCGTCAGATCCGGTTAGATCTTTGCCAGACGAGCCCGTTATCAAATCTGTGTTCCCCATGTTGGTGCCTCAGCGTTTGAGAAGGTGCTAATATGCTGGGACCTAAGATCCCACCCTTAAAACAGAATCAAACGGTCTCTGTAATGTTTTCCAGTGTCCGGAGCAGGGCCTGGGTGGGAAGGGACAGCTTAGGGGCGGGGCTTGGGAGCTATGGGGTGGAGCAGTGGGCGTGGTGAGGGGGGATTGGGTGGGGCCTGTCAGGAGGCGGGGATTAAGAGGGAGGGGCAGAACAGTGGGCGTGTCAGTGGGCGGGGACTGGTAAAGAGGGGGCTATCGGCGCAGGATCTGGGAGGGAAGGGCTAGAGCAGGGGGCCTGTTGGAGCCAGGGCCTAGGAGGAGGAGGTCAGGTGTGGGACTTGGGCGGGAGGGGGCATCATAGGAGGTGGTGTTTGGGAGGGTAGGGGATTCAGGGGGTGGGGCTTAGGCAGGAGGGTGCATTTCAGAGTATTTTAGGGGGCGAGGCCTGGGTAGGAGTGGCATGTCAAGGGTGGAGCCTGGTGAGGGCGTCTCAGGGGGCAGGGCATCTCGAGTGGGGCCTGAGAGGGAGGGACATCTGAGGGGGCGGGCCTGGGTAAGAGGGCGTGGCCAGAGCGCCAGCGGCAGCTCTGAAGCTGTTCTAACTTAGACCAGGGTGTGTACACAGGCGCCCCCAAGCCAGGGCTGGCGAGCAGTGGGCTCAGGGCGGGAGCTGAACCAGGCCCTGGTCTCCAGAGCCCTTCTCCATGCCATGGGGCGGCCCGGCGGGGGCAGCGTGCAGCCGGCGGTGGGACACCAGGTGGGCATTCTGGATGAAGCTCCGATGGCACTGCCCGCATTTGAACGGCTTCTCCCCGGAGTGCACCAGCCGGTGCTGCGCCAGGTGGGAGCTGCGGGCGAAGGCGCGGCCGCACTCGGGGCAGACGTGGGGCTTTTCCCCAGAGTGCACCTGCCGGTGCTGGTTGAGGGTGGAGCTCCAGCTGAAGGTCTTGCCGCACTCCCCGCACTGGTACGGCTTGGCGCCCGTGTGGATCCGCTGGTGCTGCTTGAGGGCCGTGGTCCAGCTGAAGGCCTTGCCGCAGTCCCCGCAGCGGTAGGGCCGCTCGCCAGTGTGGGTGCGCTGGTGCTTGAAGAGGGTGGAGGTGTGGTTGAAGCCCCGGCCGCACTCCTTGCACCGGTAGGGCCGCTCCCCGGTGTGGACACGCTGGTGGTTGGCCAGGTGGGAGCTCTCCCCAAAGCTCTTCCCGCATGCCTCGCACATGTAGGGCCGCTCGCCGGTGTGGGTGCGCTGGTGCTTCTTCAGGGTGGAGCTGAGGCTGAAGGCCTTGCCGCATTGGTGGCAGCGGTAGGGCCGTTCGCCGGTGTGGACGCGCCGGTGCTGGGCCAGGGTGGAGCTCTCGGTGAAGCACTTCCCGCACTGGGGGCAGGCGTAGGGGCGCTCGCCCGTGTGGGTGCGATGATGCTGGGTCAGGGCCGAGCTCTGGGTGAAGCTTTTCCCGCACTGGGCACACTTGTAGGGCCGCTCGCCTGTGTGCGTGCGAAGGTGCTTCACCAGGTCTGAGTTTTGCAGGAAGCCCTTCCCGCACTCGCCGCAGATGGTGGGCCGCTCCCCGCGTCGGGGGGCCCCGGGCAGCCCCAGCCGGCCCCCCGCTCCTGCCCCTGGACGGGCCCCTCTGGGCCACAGGGTGGAGGACGGCCTGTGTGGATCCCCTCTCAAGGGATGCTGGGATATGTCCTCTTTGGATCGCCCTGAAAACGGCCCATGCAGATCCGCTCCTAAAGGATTTTGGGATACGTCCTCTTGGGATCTCTGTGGGAACACCCTGCACTGATCTGCTCCTGAAGAATTCTGGGATATGTCCTCTTGGGATGTCCAGGGGAATGTCCCGCGCAGATCCACTCTCTGCCGAGGATTCTCACTCGCCGTCCTGGCATCTGCTAGGGGGGAGAAAGAGACTCAAGCCGGGGCTCGTTCCCTGTGCCGCGGACAGAGGGGGCAGCAAAGGGGTTGGTGATGGAGTAGAAAACCCAATGGGCAGGAACCAAGCTCCCGAACCTCCCCTGGAGGGGAGCAGAGGGGCTGGTTCTGCCTCAATGACCCAGATGAGCCCTCAAAGGCTGTGGGAAGGAAGGGCTCCTGCCGTGAGGCCAGGGCACCCGCTGGGAGCGATACTCAGCGAGACGAGGCGAACCTTCCCCTTCACTCCCCGAGCTCCTCACCTGGGATCTCCCTCCCCTCAGAGCCCTGGAGATCCGGGACGCACGGCGCCTCCCCTCGCTCCATCCGGGCGATCACGGCCGGTTTGGGGACCGGGAACCCTGCCAGCGGGGGGATAAGGTCAAGTGAGACTCCAGACCAGACCAGAGGGACTAGGAAAACAGAGATGGGAATTCAGCTCCTGGAGGGGCCTGAGTTGCCTCTGCTGGGGGACGTGTTAATAGAAAGAGATCGGCCAAGGGTATTAGAGAGAGGGAGGGAGGGAGGTGTATGGGGATAGATAGATAGAAATGGGTGTAGACAGATAGATCATTCCATTGGTGAAATACTTATTACAGGGTAAAACAATAGAGTGATGGGGCTTGTCTGGAAGCCAGGACTCCTGGGTTCTATCCCCAGCTCTAGGAGGGGAGTGGGGTCTTGTGGTTAGAGCAGGGGGGCTGGGAGCCAGGATGCCTGGGTTCTATCCCCAGCTCTGGGAGGGAAGTGGGGTCTAGTGGTTAGACCAGTGGGGGGCTGGGATCCAGGACTCCTGGGTCTATCCCCAGCTTTGGGAGGGGAGTGGGGTCTAGTGGTTAGAGTCAGGGACTGTCTTTCCCAGCTCCTGTCCCCGAGGGGAAGCGGCCCCTCACCCAGGAAGCTGACGTTGGTGTAGTTCTCCAGCATGACATCCCTGTAGAGCCGCCTCTGCCCTTCATCCAGAAGACGCCACTCCTCCTCGGTGAAATACACGGCCACCTCTTCGAATGTTACTGGCGCCTGCAACCGCAAGGGACCCCACTGGGCGCCGCGGCCACACCCCTGCTCTCTGAGGGGTGGAGCTGGCTACTGCCCAAGTGCATTCTGGGACTATCTGGGCAGACACCTTCATGTGGCCTAGAGTCGTGTGCACCAATGCATTGTGGGAATATCCCAGCAGGGGCCCTCCACATGCCCCAGTGCATTGTGGGACTATCCCAGAAGCCTCACTTCCTAGCAACGCTTACATCCATCTAGTATCTTGCCCATCCCTGCCGCCCCAGATCAGATGCAGGGGCCCATCTAGCCTGGTATCCCATCTGCTCGCTCCTGCCCCAGATCAGACCCACAGCAGACATCCACTGGGGTCACTGAGACCAGAACCTAGGCCAGTCTCATCTTCCCAGGAACCCGGCCAGCCCCATGACCCACCTGGACGCCAGGCTCCCAGGGCAGGTCAGCCCTGCCCCGCTGCCGCTCACGCCTCTCCAAGCTAGGCAGAGACCCCTGGGGGCGTGTGAGATCTGAGGGAGAAGAGCGAGTTGTTTAGGAGACCCCGGGGGAACCAACCCTCCCTTTCAGCCCTGGGCTCCCCCCTAGAGCCCCTCCGCCTCAAGGAGAGCACCCCCTGCTGGGGAGACACCCCCCCCAAACTCTGAGCTCTACCTTGTAGCATGTGGGGCTCCTGGTCCTCCTCTTGGGTTGCAGGATTGGGGTGCCGCCTCTGGGCCTCCCACAGTCCTCTGGGGTAGTCCATCTACACCGCTCTCCGTCCCACCAACTGTCACCTGCAAACCACCCAAAATATGGGGCTGGGTTGGTGGGCGGAACCCTGCCCCCTCTCACTGTGCATCCCCAGAGCTGGCGGAACTGGGGGGACCCTGAACAGAACCCCCTCCATACACCCCCAGGGCTATCTGGGTTGGGGGGCACCCTGCACACACCCCTCCTTCATGCACCCCAAGAGCTGGTGGAACTGGGGGGACCCGGCACACACCCCTCACCCCAATGCACCACCAGAGCTGGCTGGGTTGGGGGGGATCCTGCACACTCCCCTTCCCCCATGCACCCCCAGAACTGGCTGGGTTGGGGGGACCCTGCATAGACCCCCTCCTCTCATGCATCCCCAGAGCTGGTGGCATTGGGGCAACCCTGCTGGGCTCAGCTCCCTCCCCAGATGTCCTAGACTCAGCAGCGCCAGGGATTGGGGGATTTGCTCCTCCCTGGTGGGGCCCCGATCTAGGGGGGCAGAGCTCAGGGGGGACTGGGGAACGCGGGCTCCTTTCCGACCCCCCTCCCCATCCCACCTCCCTCTGCTTCATCCGCACCATGCAATTGGCGAGCCAATCAATGCACGCACCCCCCAGCTCTGCAGGCTGGAGAGACACCCTGTCTGCACCCACACACCTACCTGCTTGCCGGGGGCTAGGGGAGACTGGGGATCGCCCCCTCCCCCCGGCTGCTTGGATTGGGGGGGAGGGGAAGGAAGCGGAAGGTCCCTTTCTTATTTCATTCCCCCCAGGGTAGACCCGCCTGGTCCTGTCTAGGCTTCCACTGATCGGTCGTATTAACCCTTCACTCAGCCGTGGAGAGAAGGAGCTTTGCCCCCTGCAGCCAGGGCCGCCCCCAGTGCGGCGCTAGGGGGCGCTGTGCTGCAGGGAGCGGGGGATCAGCAGGGGGCGCTCTCCCCTGGCGGTCAGGCCTGGCCCCAGTGCGGCGCTAGGGGGCGCTGTGCTGCAGGGAGCGGGGGATCAGCAGGGGGCGCTCTCCCTTGGCAGTCAGGCCTGGCCCCAGTGCCCCAGTGCGGCGCTAGGGGGCGCTGTGCTGCAGGGAGCGGGGGATCAGCAGGGGGCGCTCTCCCTTGGCAGTCAGGGCTGGCCCCAGTGCGGCGCTAGGGGGCGCTGTGCTGCAGGGAGCAGGGGTCAGTACGGGGCGCTCTCCCGTGGCAGTCAGGGCTGGCCCCAGTGCGGCGCTAGGGGGCGCTGTGCTGCAGGGAGCGGGGGATCAGCAGGGGGCGCTCTCCCCTGGCAGTCAGGGCTGGCCCCAGTGCAGCGCTAGGGGGCGCTGTGGGGTAGGGATCAGCAGGGGGCGCTCTCCCTTTCCAGTGCAGTCTGACCCCGGTGCTGCAAGTGAGTAGACTTTTACTTCTCGAATGAAGGACTTGTTTGAAGCACATGCTGCGAGATCTGACCACCACTTATCCCTGTCTTCAGTTTTAACTCCAGGAATACTCTTGTCGACTTGAGTTTCAGCGTTGATTGAATTGTTATTCTTGGTCAGCGCACCAGGAAGGCCAGTTTCCGATCCGGAGTTAATCTTGGGGTAGATTCGGCTCTGTCTGGGTTTACACCAGGGTCACCGAGCTCAGAGTCTGGCCCTGAAAATGGAGTCACTCCTCATTGGATCAGAATGAGGTTTTTCTGTTGCTTTTGAAAGCCACACGCTGCCGGGAAGAATTAACAGAGTCAGCGGCTATAGCAAAGTGGTGAAATACTTTTGTCTCATCAGCACTCTGCTCGGGAGGGACACTTCAGGTCAGGGTTATAGCTATCTTCGCACGATTTTGATCCAGGAACAGATCCTGAGCCGCATGCAACCATTTAATCAGGAATCTTCCATTGTTCCCGTCCCCGCCCCCCCAAAATGCCTCGAGCTTCTGGAGTCACGTGAAAAAATTCTTTTTGCCTTTAAAAGAGCCAAATAATTATTGTTTAGTCCGTGTTGTTGGAGAAAAGCATGACTACACCACCCCTATCGGCGCTCAACCAAGAAGGCAACTAACAAGTACGGGAGATATTATTTCATTTATGAAATCTCATGATTTGCCACACTGAGCTGGCGATTTGTGGTGGCTTCGGTCGCGATTTCTGAGCGCTTGGGGCTGGTAACGCCACAGAAATTGCGGAGTAATGTTACTCCCTGGCTAGTCCTGCCGTAGTGAATGAGGGTGGCAGAATTTTTTCTTGTTGCCAACGCCAGGCGGAGGTGGAATGTAGTGGGTTAGAGCAGGGGCTGAGATCCAGGATTCCTGGGTTCTGTTCTCAGCTCTGGGAGGGGAATAGGGTCAAGGGGGGAGGCAGGGGCTGGGAGTGAATGCTGTTTGAGATGAATGGGGCCTGGGGCAGGGGAACTGGACTACAATTCCCATAAGGCCCTTTCCTCCTACAACCCAGCTTTAACTCAATGGCAAATACTACAACTGCCATGAGGTCTTGCGTGGAATTTTCCCCTCCCCACCCCTGAGCCTCCATGGTGGTTGTAGTCCAGTTTTCTCTTCTTTGCTTTCCAGATATCATAGGGGAAGGGGAAAGACTACAAATCCCATGAGGCCATGCGCGGACAGCTCTGCCATGTTAGTTGTAGTCCAGGCGGGTGTGAGGACCACATGTCCCATGAGGCCTTGCCAGGCATGAGCCTGGCTGCACTGCAATGACAATTGTAATTTAAACATCTCCCACTTCCCTGAAAGAACAAAAGGGCTCCTTTTGGGGGGAGGGGTGTCAAAAACTACCTTTCCCATGAGGCATTGCGCATCCTCCCCCTCACGCCTCCATGGCACTTGTAGTCCAAACATGTCCCCATCCATTTAGAAATGAATGGGACTTGGGTGGCTGAGGAACTACATTTCCCATGAGTCATTGTTTTGTGCCGCCATGACACTTGTAGTCCAAACATGCCCTCCTCCCCGGACATAAATGGGCTCAGAGGGGTGGGGAACTATATCTCCCATGAGGCAGCGCGAGGGCCCACCGCCCACCTCACCCCTGCGCTGCCATGACACTTTTGGACCAAACACTCTTTTCCCTCATGGGAAAACACCAGGGCGCGGAGGTAGTCAAATAAACTACATCTCCCATGAGGCAGCGGGAGAACCCAGCCTCCCTGCGCCACCATGACACTTGTAGTCCAAACATTCCCCCCTTCCCCATAGACATGAACGCGCCTCAGAGGAGAGGGTGAGGAACTACATCTCCCATGAGGCGTTGCGCGGGCCCGGCTTCCCTGCGCCGCCATGACCCCAGTAGTCCAAACACACCAGTTCTCCCATTCGGAACGAACGCGGCCTGGTGGCGGGGGAACTACGTCTCCCATGAGGCAGCGCGCGGGCCTGGGCTGGCTCCGGGCCGCCATGATGGGTTTTGTGTGTTTGCGGGGTTGAGAGGGGGAGGGGAGGGGGATGAGCCAGGCTGCAGGAGGGGGCAGCAGCAGCCGAAGCAGGAGAAGAACAGCAGCCTTGGGGCCCAGCCCCCCTCCCCGGAGCTGCACCCCTCCCCCGCTCTGCATTTTTAGGGGGGGCTGGGACAGCCCCTCCCCCCCGCACGAGCCAGCCCGAGTGGGGGAGGGGGAAACGAGGAAGGCAGCTTAGGCCCCGCCCCCATATGTGTGTGGGGGGCTTGGGGCAGCGCAGGACCCCCCCAGGCTAGATTCTTAAATTAGGGGGGGCAGAGAGGGGGCTGAGCTCCCCCTCTTCAGCTGGGGGGACCCACAGACTCCCCCGAGGGGGGGCAGGCAGGATAGGAAGGGGCAAAGGCCCCCCCTAAAAAGGGAGGCGAACCCCCTTATTGGTGGGGGGCAGCAGCTTGAGGAGCGGGGGCGGGTCTGAGCCCTGTTGGGGGGGGCTGCTCCCTAAGTGGGGGGAAGGGGGCTTGGAAAGAGCAGGGGACCTGCTCCCTATTGGGGTGGGGGGTTGCAAAGAGGGGGCCCTGCTTCTTATTGGGGGGGCGGCTTGGAAAGAGGGGAGGGCTGAGCCCTACTTGGGGTGGGTTGGAAAGGGGGGGGACCTTGATTCCTATTGGGGGGTTGGGAGAAGGGGGGGACCTGGTCCCTCTTTGGGAGGGGTTGGGCAGCTCAGATCCCCCCCCCTAAAAAGCCCAGGAGGGGCTGAGGATTTGGGGGTGCCCCGGGGGGGTCTGGAGAGAGGGGGCGCACTCGGCATCGGCTCCCCTTCCTCCTCCAAGGACAAGAGAGCCGTGAAGGGTAAAGGGGGTGGGGGTCAGGTTGGGGTGGGGGTCAGGTTGAGGCGAGGGGGGGGGTGCCCCACTTTGCACCTCAGAGGCCGCCTCCGAGCCCCCCCAACCCACCCGCCCCCCACGCCGTAGGGCCCAAGGAAACAAAAGTCTGGGTTGGTTGCAGTTTCTTCCCCACCCCACCCCACACCACCACCCCCCCATGGAAGAGACCGTGACCCACGGCGGATCCCACGCAGCCCCATGGCTACCCAGCAGGTAAGCGGCTCCCCCTCCCCTTGCAAGTCTCTGGGGGACCCCCCCACCCCCCCAAAAAAACCCAGAGCCACCCCAGGGAGGGGTGGGTCGGTGCCTGCGAAGGGGCCAGGCCGAGCCGGGATTCCTGGTAAGTTTCTTTGCCTCCGCTGAGATCTGGCTGGTTTCCCCAGCCCCCCCCCTCCCGGCCCCACTCCCCCCAGCCCGGCTGCCTTTCGGGGGGGGGCTCCCCCGGGCTGTGGGGTGCAGACATGAGGGGGGAGGAAGGGGCACAGGCTGGTTTCGGGAGCTGCCCCACCGCAGGCCCGGCAGGGAGCAGAGCCCTACAAGCATTGGGGGGACGAGGGGGCTGGAGATCGGAGCCAAAGCTGGGGGGCCGGGGGCAATTGGGGGCCCCCCTTAGATCACCGAGCATGAGGGGGGCTGGGGGGCCCCTCCCCCTCGGCCAGTCCCCTTTGTGGTGGCAGGATTTATTCGTCCCCCCCGCGGGGTGCGAGTGGGGGGGGCTGCGCACAGACCGGGGGGGGCAGGATGCAAAGGGGGGGCGGCTCCGGCGAT